CTGTGGGCTTTTATCAGGTTAGTGAATTTTTCTGTACCTGCTACTACTACATGAGTTCAAATTGTTACCAACTAAATTCATTCTATTCCCTTCCTCAGATAGCAAAGCTGTGCATGATACCTGCATCATGTCTTCTGGAGGTTGTCTTTGATCATGTACACTATTCTCGGGACACAAAGCTGAGCATAATGGTTGTGCTTATAGGAGTGGCAGTTTGCACTGTTACTGATGTCAGTGTGAATGCAAGAGGTCTAATTGCAGCTGTTATAGCTGTTTGGAGCACAACTTTGCAACAATATATAAGTTAGTCTGGTGGTTTGTTATATGTCAGCTCATGATTAAGATTGCTTCTAAAACTGATTGTCTGCTTCTGTTTACAATTAGCTGCAAGTTCTTTTGCATGCTTCTAACTGTCTCGAAGGATTAAGTATTTGAATATGGTAGTACAATGACTGTCATTCTACAAAGTTATGAACAATTAGCAATTACTTAATCATTCATTGATGTTTCTGCTTCTTTAGGATATCGCTCCTTTGTTTAGACATTAGGATATAGCTACTCACCATGACACCAGTATTTCCCATTTCTATGAACTAAAAAAACTAGACCAACCTAGGAGAAACTAGGTGGTGTTTTATTAAGAAGAAAATAGGCACCAAAATTCTCCTTGATGAGAACTTGAACCTGGGTGGTCTGGGCATTCATCCCCATTTCTATGAACTGTTAGGCTTGATTCAGTTTCCTCATTATATTACTGCTTAATCTTTAAAGAACACTCCATTTGCCACACGTGCAACACATAATTCATTTGTTTTCCCTACTTTGGCATTTTTTTTATTATTTGAGTGCCCTTACTCCTCCACATTTTTATTAATTGTTCTATTTGCACTGCATACATACTTTGGTCCTATCATGTATCCAGTTAAAAGGGGCACAGTTTTGATTCCTTTGTAATTTCTGCTCTTTTGCAGTATGTTCATTTCCTCCAACGCAAGTACTCTCTGAACTCGTTCAGCCTGCTGGGCCACACAGCTCCAGCCCAAGCAGGGTCCCTCCTGCTGGCAGGGCCATTTGTTGATTACTTGTTGACGGGGCAAAGGGTGGATCACTTCATTTTTTCATCTCTTGCTCTGGTATGGACAAAATCTCAACAATGTTTCTATCACTACGTTCATATGGCGATTGATCCTTCTTACGGGTAATCTGTTTACTCAGAAATGAGATGGTGATTAGGCTGCATTTAGCTGGATGAGAATTTCAATACAGTGATGGTTTATAAGCTATCCAGGAAACGTTAACACTAGTTCAATAATTTTATTTATTATTCTTGTCAAAAAAATAATTTCATTTATTATTGTGACTGAAATTCATCCATTTTACTGCTTGACCTGCTAGCAATAGCTTCTAGCTGACCATATACATATAGCTTCACTTAGTGTTCACCTTTGCTGGATCAGAATTTTGGATTTGAATGGCATCCTTACCATATCGTTTCCCTGATTCTGCAGTTTTTTCTCACGCTATCATGCTTCATCGCCATTGGCGTCAATCTGAGCCAGTTCATCTGCATCGGGCGGTTTTCTGCGGTATCCTTCCAAGTCCTGGGCCACATGAAGACCGTGCTTGTTCTGTCCCTTGGGTTTCTCTTCTTTGGCAAGGAAGGCCTGAATCTTCAGGTCGTTATTGGGATGGTCCTAGCTGTTCTTGGAATGATATGGTATGGAAACGCATCTGCTAAACCAGGTGGCAAAGAGCGGCGCAGCGTGCTGCCGGTGAGGTCTGCGAGCCTCAAGGGAAGTTCAGAAGAAAAGGACGGTGCGGAGAAGTAAACTTGCTAATCTCACTGTGACTGAGATGAGAAACTAAATTTCTGGTGGCGGACAAAAGTGGAAAGGCTCTATGTTTTGCCTCCGCAGCTCAACTCAAGTCTTCCCGTTTAGAAACATAGCATTGTTATAGTTACAGGTATACTGTGTGACTCCATTTTTTGGCTCTCTGAATCTGAATCATTTGTAGCAAGGGGGAGTGACAGATGTTACAAGATTTGAAGACTGTTTTATCAAATGTATACTGTAATTGTTTAATCATGTAGTGCAATTGTTTGCAAAACATTAAACATTGCCCTTAGTATACATTTGTTTACCGCGATCTCGTTTACAAATTGACGCGGTTAACTAGCTGATTACTAAGGCTGGTTGGAATAGTGAGCTCTGCCAAGCTGGATTATTCAGTTACATCACTGTTTGCCGAAGCAGCTCTTTAGCTAGTTTAAACGTTACATGGTGTTAAGTCATTTTTATTTGATCAGCCATTCATTATGTTTATTAGTTGGCCATTTAGCCCAAATAATAGCTAAACAATAGGTGAGTAGGTGACCATCTGTTTGGCACTGTATGTCAGTCGTTTAAATAGAAGACCATCAGCATCAATTTCAATTGCACATAGTACACCCACAGCATGTCATCATTACAGCAAGACAAAAGTTGTCGAGTTTGTTGGCCTGCATGGCGGCAGCACAGGGCATATGCCAAACATCTCATGATGTAACATAAGCATATGCCGTGGCCTCGCAATAGCACTATAGCAGGATGAACAGCGTATGGAACTATGGAACACAGAGCTGTAGCTTTGCTGCGCCCATATATGTATGCATCATAAGCATACAGATATACGGAGTAGGTCACACCAGAATCAAGAAATAGTCATCTTCGAGGCACAATACATGAGCAAACTTTGTGACATATTTTAAGCACAGCAAGAAAATAGTGCAAAACTAAACTACAAGGCAATAAGAAGAAGAAGAAGATCACAAGACGTTCTTAAAGTAAAAAATGAAAAAAATTTTGTCTTGAATGTTAAGAGTATTGCAAAACTAAACTAGGCAAAACCAAACTAGGCAAAACCGCAAAACAAAAAAAAGGGTCTGTGTAGCCAACAACCGGTTGATTTAGCCCCTTCTATCAACTGAATTTTTTCTATACACTTACATTATCTTATAGCTATATTTACAACGACTTATTACTATATTTACAATGATTTCTTCGGTGTAATTTATTAGACAGAGTGATGTAATTTGGGAATAGTATGCCAAAATTTTCAAAAAAAAAACAAATTATTTCTATGGATTTCAGACACCAAAGAAATATATATCAAATTGTTCACAAATTCTTCACCAAATTCAAAAAAATATACAAAATCCACACAAAATTGCTGCAACCAGAAGGGGCGGCGCCAGGGACGCCCGTGCACATGCGTCCCCAGGCAAAACGAAACGGCGCCGGCCTCTCACGCAGAAAGAAACGAAGGGAGCAGCGCCTCTGCTCCACTCTTTGTCAACTGGTGCGGGCCCCCCCACGAGCAGTCCCTCTCACCTTTGCTCACATACATGCTGCACTACTCGGCGGTGGACACGTAGCCTGGGCGAGTAGGCCGCCTACGTGGCTCCCTCGAGAGAAGCCATGGGGAACGGCGGGGGCGACCACGAGGCCGAAGTTATCCGGTTGGTTCTCTATCGACGGCTGAGGGAGGACGGGCGAGGAGGATCGAACGCCATCCGATGGCAAAAAAACGGTTGAGAGATGTCCCTAAATCAACCGGTTGACCATTAGCATTTCTCAAAAAAAAATCACAAGAAATTCTTAAAGTAAAAAATTGAAAAAATGTCTTGAATGTTAAGAGCAATCAACAACTCAATCATATCCCTCAGAATGCCACATCTCAACAGTGTATACAGAGATATTGGTTCCTTCAACCTCCCATCAGAGTGATGAGGAAGGAGCACCAACTCAATAAGCACTCAGATTACTAAAATGTTCATCACAGGGATATGCAGAAATTACATGCACAACATACAAGAGCCAAGAAAAAGGGAAACTGACATTCTGCCAACATGTCACAATGCAGCTGCTGATTTGATCTAGTCTTATATCAGCTATAAGCAAAACTTTCCGAAGCAAGCAAAATACATCTCAATTTATCAGCTTGCTGAGAAACCTTTTCCCCGTCTGTAAATAGAGAATTTCCAAATGATACGCCAAGAGTATATGCTCTGTAGAAAAAAGATACCATTTATCTTGACCCAATTGGATTATGATCAGATTAAGCTTCCTCCACAACATCAAAGTATTTCTCAAGCAGTCATGCTAAGTGCACAAGAACCATCCAAATAGCATCAAACTATTACATTGCAGCAAAATGGAGGGCAAAAACTCAAGAACTTCTAAGAAAATACTGAAAAATGATGTTTGAAAAACAAGATACAAGGAAATAGAACCAAGAGGAATGAGCTAGTATGGACAAATACTGCATTTCAGAGGCCATCTACAATCGCAAAAATAAGAATAAAAAACACATGAGTTTCACGTTTGCCATATCAATTTCAAATAAGCAACAATTATTATGTATGATGACAGTTGACCAATGTCATAAACATACCTAGTCAGACCAGTCCAAATAATTAGCCTGTTCGCTTGTTGGTTTCAGCCAGGACTTATCAGCCAGCCAACAGTGTTTTCCTCTCACAATAAATCAGCATCAGCCGAGCTTATCAGCTCAGAAACCAACCAGCGAACAGGCTCAATACATGCTACTACCATTGACCTGCTGCTCTATCTTGATGCAACTTGTCTCACTCCTCTTTCATCTTGTTCGCAATCTCAATTAGCTTTAGGTTAAATAAACGATCCATAACATATTTCTTTTCCTCTGCTTGTATTTCTTTTATGGCACTTGGGTATGGATTTGGAGGTGGCTTCTTTCCTTCACTGCGGGCGATTTCTTTCAGTTCCTTGTATGCTTTCTTTTTTGCTTTCTTCTGTGTCCGATACTCCATCTAGAAAAAGGATGGTGGTTATACAACAGATATATCTAATAAAACTGGTAGCGTTCAAACTTGAGACTCAGTAACTTCTAATATAAGTACAGTGAGGCCCAGAATTGAATTTTCTGTTTAATGGTGTTTGATAAAAATAAACAAAAGGATTATAGAAAAGAATAATTACATCTGCTACAGCCATCGCATCATCTTCACCGACTCCTTGCTCTTTCAGCTCCAGGACACGCCAAGCAAAAACTCGAGCTGGTGGTGGATCAAATCCACTTATCCTGAAAAGGATGGATAAACTGAGATGAGAAACTAGTCCTGTGGTTTGGTGACGCACAAAAGTGCAAAGGCACTATGTTTGCCGCAGCAGCTGTACTCTTTCAGTTTAGAAACATAGCATTGTTGTAGTTACAGGTATAAGGTGGGACTCCATTTTTTGAATCCGAATTAGCGAGGGGGATGGCAGATGTTACAAGACTTGAAGACTGCTTTAGTGCTTTATCAAATCTACTGTAACTGTTTCATCAAATAGTGCAATTGTTTGAAAAACATTAAACATTGCCCTTGGTATACATATGTTTACCGCAATCTCTCGTTTACAAAATGATGCAGCTAAATAGCTGAATATGGTAAGCCCAGTTGGAATAGTGAACTCTGCCAAGCTGGATTATTCAGTTACAGCACTTCAAATTGAGCTCTGCCTAAGCAGCCCTTTAGGTAATTTAAACAACACTAGCTGTAAACCTGAATGAGTCTGGAATTCTGGATCCAGTAAAAACAAGACAAAAAGAGAACTGTAACTCAATAATCACGAAATGATAGGTATTTATGTCATTATTGGAAATCAGTAACTCAGGATCTAGAATTAATGAGCATAACCACAGCCAAGTAAATTCTACAACTGAAGAATTCAAGCCGTTGCAACTCATAACTGTTCTATCTATCTATTCGGTTAACTAAACACCACAAATATCACAAACCACAAACAAAAAGTGAACAACAGTGCTTCATGTCTGATGAGGCCAACTGAAGTTGTAGTGCAGTAAGCGTACCATGACAAGCTGTATCAACAGATAACCATGCCCTCAAACAGAGAGCTAGAAATCCCCCTTACAACAGGGTCCTCAAGCAGAGAGCCAGGAACCCCCATGGCCCATCCCTAAAGACAAACCTTGACTAGCGGCTAAGAAAGCAGCAGACAGAAGAGAACCATTGCTGCACAGAGCAGGGTTCAGCTCATGGACATCAAGAAATCACATAAGAAAAGAGAAGGATCTTACTTGATTGCATCATGGTAGAGCGAATCTGGATGTTTTTTGTTGAACTTCCTAACATACACATCCTCAGGAAACTCGATTTTCTTGATCTTCCCATCTGGGCGAGGAAATGTCACTGGCGGTGCCCTAATGAACAAGCGTCACTTGTTTCAGTAAGCCAGAAAGCAGCATGAAGAACAAGAAAGGAAATGTTACATGAGGCAACTGATATGGCACTTTTAAACAATTTATTAAGCATACATAGACTCACCAGCCACCTTCGGTTCATACACATGTAGCACAACTGAACCAAACGAAACACAATAATACAAACCCGCTGACGACAACAGAAACTACAGCCAAGAATCACATCTATATATATGCAATACCACGGGGGGTCAGGGTTTTATTTAGAGAACAGTTAGGAACCAACACAGCGGTTTCAGCACAAAATCATGTCAATATTGCTACATCACTACAAATTATAGACCCATTGTCCATGGGTGAGCAATCAAATGGGGCCTATGCGATTGCTAGTAGAGGAGTTATTTATTTATTCACAGAATCCAAACAACCCTAAGAGGAGCCATCAACAGCAAGCAAATGGTCCACTGTCCTGACACTAACGGCGTCATGGATTCGAGAAATGCAAGTGTAAAGACACAGCTAGGGACGGGAAAAGCGAGAGGTTGTCATAGCGAGAGCACTGACTCTTCCATGGCCTTGAGCCAACCTGGGCTCGGGCCTGGCGAGGCCCTTCACCAGCTTCCGCATCTTCGTCAGCAGGTCCCCCCGCATGTACGGCACCTCCCTCCTCTCTGCCGATCCGATCCGCTCCGCTGCGGGAGGCTCCCTCGCCGTCGGAGAGATCCGAAGTCTCGCAGAGGCGGAGGCGCCGAGAGACAGCACCGCAACAAAATGAAATTGGAAGTCTCACTTGCTGGGTATGGTATGGATGTGCGCACCTTAATGGGCCGCGGAAGAAAAAGGCCCAAAGGTGACCAAAATTCATTTGCTCTGTCCGAGTTGTGAGCGATCACAGCATTTCTGGTAGGCTGTTTGCAGGATTCGTACAGTGGTCTATTTGCTTTGTTCTAGAAATGGTACGGTCTCTGTTACTTCAGTTGCTTATATACTTAGCTGCTGAAAGTAAGGCACCGTTTAGATTCAAAAAATTTTGCGCAGTACCTATAACATCGAATCTTGCGGTATATGCATGGAGTACTAAATGTAGACGAAAAAAAAAACTAATTGTACAGTTGGGTGAAAAATCGCGAGACGAAATTTTTGAACCTAATTAGTCCATAATTAGACACTAATTGCCAAATACAAACGAAAGTGCTACAGTAGCCAAAATCCAAAAAAATTTAGATCTAAACGGGGCCTAACTGAAATAGGCTTTTGATCCATCATCAGGTCTGAAGTCTGAACCTTACCAGAACCGGACGACCTCTCAATTCACACAGCTTTATCTGGTACCGGTGAACAGAGATGCATGTAGCGTAGAAAAGACGTGATATCTATACTTGACACTTCTCTCCCAGTTCAATCCTTTTTAAATTGGAGGATCACGAATTTCAACTAGTTGAAGAAAGAAAAGGGCCAATTTGTACTGTAGGCGGGCCCAGTAGGTTACGGCTAGCTTTCAACTGGGCCGGCCGGATCGGACTGGTCCTTACAAGGACGGGCCACAGCCGATGTCCGAGGTCCATTTCCTGTGGCCAGAACCCAAATGTTTAAGACTATATAGCTGTCACAGGACGGCTGTCTCGTTTCTCCAAAATAAAAATAAAAATAATAATAACAAAAACAAAAACCCAAGACGGCTGTCTCTTTTTCTCAAAAACAAAAAAAGAAAAAGAAAAAGACGGCTGTCTCAAGTCATTTGAATTAATATGTACAAGAAGTGTATATCTTTATACAACACCATAGAAAATATGCAGCACCTCTGATAGATCCTCCTTGGTACCGGAACCGCCTTCACAATGGCAGCTCTATGACGTACACCCATATGTACCAGAACCATACGAGAATATACATCATCATCATTACTAGAAGGGGAGACGCTAGCGTCCAGACGTCTGCCCCCAAGAGGCGTCGAGACGCAGCTCCCATCCAGCCTGTAAAGTTATCTGGTTCCACCCGTAACAGAGGGGATAGCCCACGCTCGCGCCCTGCTGCACACACAGGCGGGACCGCCCATGCCCCTACCGCCATCCCCCTCCCTTTCCCGCGCTCGCCGCCATGCCGCGTTCCATCCCTCCGCTTCCCATGCGCATGCATGACGGCAGGTGGGGCGGCTGACTGGGAGGATGAGCGGCCGGTTAGGGCGGCTGGGCGGTGGCCTGATTGGTAGGGCGGCTGCGGCGGCCGCATGGCTGGAGGAGGCGACAGCTCGGCCGGGGTAGGCTGCCGTGCTCTATGCCATGCAACCATATCTACAGAAACTTATGATAATGCACATCATCATGCGAGAAGATCAAGGCACAGAAATGCATGAGAAGCTATAGAATACTTCCCTTTATGTGTTAGTCAGCTTCTGAAACTAGAATATAATTACTCTGTTGATGAATGAATTCACTCATTCTTTCGCAAAACAAAAAAAAAAGAAAAAAGAGAAAGAAAGAAATGCACGAGAAGCATACCGATATACTATAACTACGTACAACTAGTTTGGCAATCACTATAACCAAATGTATGGACAGAGACTGCACTGGACAGTGGACAGAGATCATTTTCGCTTAGGGCACCATTTGCTTAATTAGGGACATGTATCACAAACACCATTTGCTTAGTGGACTACCAGTACCCTCACTACTGCAACCAGTTACCTGGTCACCTGGACAGGGCAAAGTTCACTCCCTGACACGTCCACCAGTTTCCACGGTGCTACTCCTGTTGTACAGTACTACTACACATGTGCATGCGAACAGGGCCCCACTAGGCGTCACCTCACCTTCACCTCTGTCGCAGTTCCGCGCTGCCGAGTACTCCTCTGTCAAGAAAACATGCGACTACGTTCGCAAAATTAGTTTATATTCAACCAAATTTCTAGTCAATATTATTTATATGTATGACTCTAAATTAATTTATTAAAAAAATGAATTTCGTAATTAATTTAATAATATTTATTTAATATTATAAATATTTATATTTTTTATCTATAACTAAGTAAATGCCCATGCGCTGCAACGGTACATAGTGGGGGGCGATTGCACGAAGCCGGGGTGGACATCGCGCGTCGGGTGAGTGCCGGGTGGACAATATGTTTTAGTTGTAGAGATAGAGATATAGATTTTAGAAAGATTAGCAATAATTTTTTTATAAGTTTGTGTTTTACAATACATACATGTTATCCGGTATTTTTTTCCGGTTGCAACACTCGAGCATTCACCTTAATCATAATAAGTTTAAGTTTCACAATACATGTTCTATAATATACTATATAATTAATAATCTAATCTCCCAATAGTTTGACTAAGAGAATGTGCTTTGCATGGACACCAAGCTACAGCTGGTCAGCAATCAAAGATGATCCAGAAGATTTGCATGTCCAAGATGCGACATTTGACTTCTTGCAGGAAGCATGCAGATGGCTCAAGCTATAGTTAGAAGTATCCTGCATATAAGTTGTTTGTTAATTTTTAAAGTTAAAGTACTATTGATATCTTAAAAAAGGTATCGACGTGTGATGCATTACCTCTTTCATAGAGTTAGAACATCTTTATATACGATATTCTTTGTGAATATATCTTTTGTCGGTTTCTTCTTCCCCTTCCCTTTCCCTTTTCTCTTGTTGACATCCTTCTCAGCAGCCGGCACGATTATATGGCAAAGGTGCTGCTGCATCTTTTTTCAGTCAAGGCTGGTTGCTAGTAGAGTTTCAGTTCTTACCCATGGATTGTTCTCTAGAAATTGTGGAACATGGATTGAAACTTCAGCTAGCATTAATATCGTTGAAAGTTTAAAATGAATACTTAGATGGCATGACAATATAAAATAAGATTCCATGTATTTATAACTGATCCATAAGTCACCATACATATTTAGTCGAGAGGAAAAGAACTACTGCAAAGAGCATGCCACATTTTATGTTGTAAGGACCAGTATGCACACTCTGCACACAGAGCATATGGTACATTTTTGTGAGAAATAACATCACTCGATTAATCCATTGCTCCATGTATATATATATATATATATATATATATATATATATATATATATATATATATATAAAATATATATACACACACACACACAAAAGGCCATATTTCATTTCACCATTACCTAAAGATCTCACCATAACCAAGAATAGATCAATCTGTGTTCTTTTCAAACAGTGGTTATAAAAATTGCACATTGGTATGATTCCCGTAAGTCATATGTTTCAGTTAGTACAGTTCTGAACAATCTAATGAGGTTCCAGTGGTAACAAATAATTAGCAGCACTACTATGAAATCAGGAGGTCCTCCAGTGGTATAAACTAAGTCGTATGAAAAAATATGTGCCAAAAATCATGAACAAGCTTTCAGTAAAAAAAAAACATGAACAAGCTACACTGGAACACATGTTTCTTTCATAGATTCATGAATAGAAGCTAATTTTTTCATGATAGACCTTGGGATGCAAACAACTATACATGAATTCCATTTTGTCTGTGAAATTCAGAGCAACAAGGGCAATGCAATATACTGTCTGCCAATGAATAGTAATGAACCAACAACTAATAGAATAGACCCTCTTGTCCAGCACTTACAGAAATAGCTTGCAAAAAAATACGCACCTGCACAAGCTTGACAGAGACCTGTATTTCTGAAGAGTGATCTGCATAGGTATCAAACCATTATATCAGTGTTAATCTTTCGGTCATTCTATACTCCGAAAAGCAGAAAACTATATAGATTACTTAAGTTGATATATTTCGATCACACAGAGAGTAGCTTCTTTTTTGGTCTTACCTTATGAAACAGAAAAATGTTCTACCGCTCAAGATGATCCAGAGTAGAAAAAAGTGAAGTCTATCTTTTGTTATTTCAAGAAATTTGTAATTGTAAGTAGAAGTGAAATTCTGCAAGCAGATATGATGATCACTAAACAATAAAATTATAATCCTGAAAATATTCAGGGAATGACCATTATTTCATATACCTGGCTACTTGGTTGTGAGCAGACTGTGCTTTAGTTTCTGCTTCTTATGATCGTTGCATGACAACACTCACGATTGGTGCATGGATTCAGACAGTGTATCCCCCAAACAAGGTTGGTCCCTGAGCTAACAAAAAAAAGAAAGGAAAATTTTGGCAGTACTGACAGAGATAACACTGCAGATATCCAAATGCCTAATAATGGCCTATAGTTGCAGTAGTGGCACAAGCAAGTGCTATGTAGTAACTCATTATCTTGGAACTTGAGTACTCACTGATTTGCAGGCTAAAAATTTTGACAACAACCATGTTAGCATTTTATGCCCTTTTCATTTTTTCCTACTAAAGACTGCCATTTAATAAATTATTGTCCCCTGTTATAGACATATAGTATCATATTTAAAGAAATCTGCGATCCAGTATGGCACCAAAAAAGGTTCTTTCTTCTTATTTGCAATGACTGAACTTACCAGTTTTACAATTTGAATGCTTGTCTTTACTTACCATCTTCTGCATATTTACCTTCTTCACAGCATCTACTGATTATATGTGATTATTATTTTCCTAAGGTGCTCTCTGAGGTGAACTATGTGCCTGCAACTGCATACACGTGGTCCTAAATCTATAGTGAATTGAGATCCTTTTCCTCC